CCCCCCCCCCCCCCCCCCCCCCCACCGCCGCACTGGATGCCATCACTGGTGTGGCCTGTGAGCAAAGCAGCTGGGAATGCTTCACTGCACGGGGGCAAGTGTGACACACGTGTACTCTGCATATTGTTCTTGGGACATTACAATTTCTAGGCTTCTGAAATACGGACCTGTATTTTTTTGTTGTTTGCCTCTGTTTTCGTTGTGAGAACAGACAATTTTTGAGTGAGTTCTTCCCTCTCTGCAAGATTTTTGTCTTCAGAAAGCCTCTGCAGCTCCTGCAAGGAGTCTTTAGTCTTCAGCAGCTCACTGTCGGTTTCTCGAAGTTTCCTGGATGCGCTTCTTTCCTTTTCCTGGGATTTCCTAAGTAGCTGCCTTAAGTTTTTTACTTCATTCTGATGTTTTACCATAATTTGAGGTAGATTATTTTGTGAATTCTCATATTTCCCTATTGCTTTCAAGTGCCTAAGCTGAAGATGTTTCAAAAATTGGTTTTCTATGACCGTGGCTTCCAATTTACGACGTATATCGCATAGTTCGTTTTTGAGCTCTTTAATCTTCTGGAGCCTTGCTGAGAGGATGCGATGAGTCACAGCATCTCTTCTTTGGGCAATCACATTGTTCTGAGCATTTAAAAGTGGCGCATTCCAGTTGTGCTTTCTTTCAACTGAGATCTCCTTCCGGCCTGCGTGAGCAGATAACCCAGTTTGTTACTAGTCATATAGATAGAGATATGCAGATATGCGCATATGTGTGACCCCCACCTGCACCCCGCACACATACAAGGCAAACGAACATGTAATATAGACGTGCTTCAGGTAGGGACTTCATATATAGACACCTCATTTCAGGTCAGTAGTCGTCTTTTTTACAGCTAGGGATTATGACTCATTTGTCTAAGGTCACAGAACCACAAAGTGGCATAGAATGGATGGAAAACCAGGCTTTCTTTGACTGTAAAACCTGTACTTATTTCTATTATTAAAGTTCTATTAAAAACCACAATAATAGATAACATTTACTAAGGGCTTACCACATGTTAAGCATTGAACTAAATGCTATATGTAGATTATCTGATATAATCCTTCCAATAATATGTTATGAGGCAATTCGAGTGTAACATGAGAGCCCAGTGTTATATATGAAGATCTCCTATATTCAAAAAGAGCCTTAGAAAGCCATTGAACTGCTTAGACTGTGTGTACGGATATTCCATTTCTCAGTAAATCCAACATAGCTAAGTTTTCCTGTTACCTTGGGCTCTAAAGGAAGTAGTTAGTTGGCTTGTATTCAGAAGTCTATTTCAAACAAAATGTATCTAAACAATGTCGCATCAAGCTTATATAACTGAGTTGTGTCAAATGTATGTGTAATGTCACTGCATTATTATCCCATTTTAAAGATGAACAAACTGATGCTTCGCGACATCCCTGCTTGATGGGCACACAGCTAGTCAGTGGTGAAATGGAACCCATGTCTGTGTGCCTGTGCTACTGCCCCATATGTATGTGCATTTGCATGACACTTACATGTGTTTATGTGCATACTGTGTATGTGCGTGTGCATGTTAGTATATCTATATTCTTTTTTTAGTTTATTGATTTATATTGAGAGAGAGAGAGAGAGAGAGACTGCATGAGCAGGGGAGGGGCAAAGAGAGAAGAGAGAGAGAATCCCAAGCAGGCTCCACCCTCCCAGCATGGAGCCTGACTCAGGGCTTGATATCATGAACCGTGAGGTCATGACTTGAGCTGAAATCAAGAGTCAGATGCTTAATCAACTGAGCCACCCAGGAGCCCCTAGTATATCTGTATTATGAGAGAGACTGAAAATGGATTCTAGAATCTAAAAAAAAATATGGTCCTCATCCTGGAGAGAGAAAGCATCTAGTGGCCAGTGTCACTGGAGTCCTAGCCTTAAGCTGTTGCCCACATGTGGACACGTCACCTGAGACACGGCTTAATATGTTTGGTGTAGGTGGTGGAAAAGGTGATTCTGCCTGTGATGGAAATCACGAGCCAACAGAAATGGCTTCCTGGGGACAAGGCATCTCAATTGTGACTGTGACAGAACACATAGATGTGGCAACGATTACAGTATCCGTATCACATCAGTAATCAATGGGCGGTCTTTACAACTGTGCCCCCACAGGTCTTTATTTTCCCACTGGGAACGATTCAGTAAAGGCTGTGGTTGAACGTTTGAGTATTTTGGAATAGGTTTTTGAGCACATTGAAAATTGGAAAGCAGAGGTCAACCTCTGAGGCTGGGCACTGGCTGGGAAAGGCCCAGACCCAGGTGGATCAGGCTGGATTAAAACAGGGGGTGGGGTGGGGTGGGGACTGTCACGTTCTACACCACGTCCAGCATGACCGAAACTTGACTCCCAACTTACAATGTCTCACTACTCTTGGGTGATGTGTTTCACGGAGGAGAGAGGGCTCTCCCTGAGACTAGAAGGATGAGGGTGGTGGGTTCTGTGGGCTGTGGAGGCTTATGTCCCTGACATATGCTGTGCTCAAGTGACGGGAGGACAGAGGCAGCATGAATGGGTGCTTGGGGACTAATCCCTGTGGCCATGCGCACACCTGCCAAGGTCCCAGGTTGAGATGTACGTACAGGGCATGTGTACTTTGAAAACAGGAGGTGACCCCATGTGCTTGGACAAGGAATGTTTGTGATGCAAATGAAGGACCAGAAGCCCTTCCCCAAGTGTCCGGTCTGTGTAGAGCCACCCAAACTCCCTCCTTCCCCCAAACACATCTGAGACTGAATTGTTTGCCTACCCTAGCTGGTGCTTGGGGGAGGAGGAACCAGATTTACTTGCTTCAGAAGATAAACATACCACTTGTATTTGAGTGACATAGAATAAATTTATTCTATAGACATTATGCATACTTGTATACTAATCAAGGTTATGGAAAACGGAAATAGAGTTTAGTCCTTAATGATTTTGCATCTCATTATACTAACCCCTGCCTGGTAAGAATGACCAAATTTATCATTTCTATCTCATTTCATGTAGTGAGGCAGATTTAGCCCAATGATTAAACTACTCTTAATGAAGTGACAAAATTAATTTTGGCTGCTCCCAATTTATGACCAGGTGTTTCGCATAAAGAACTCAATAAATACTTGTGGAATAAATAAATGAGGAAGCAATTTTTAAAAGTTAAATTGTCAGGCACTTAGAACTCAAAGTGCAGTTCGTGTGGAAATAGTTTTATAAATGCTAACAGCCTTTCATACAGCCCCACGGAAGTGTAGAATCAATACAAAGTGTAGTGTATAGATCTATGATCCCTGTCATAAAACCTTGGAGCCAGACTGTTTCTGAATTATTATTATTATTATTATTATTATTATTATTTTGGTGCATATACAGTATTTCCCATAGAATTTCCAGTAGGGCTGGGAATAGCATACTTTAATCAAAGAATATTTTTGTGAAATATGTGGCTATTCACACTAACTGAAATAAAGATCAGTCTCATGTTAGTTCAGATCTGGTTTTTGTTGCTGAATCAGTTTAGGTACCAAAGATATAAAAACTGTTTGTTTTTCAGAGTTTTGTAAATTCAGACGTGGATAGGGGATCATAACCACGATGGAGCCTAACCACGATGTAGTTTCTGTTGTGATAATCTCTTCCAAATGCCACAAACAGACTTCTTTTGACAGAGTCCCATGTGACAGAAGGAACTAGGCTTTTCATCTTCTACCCTCGGCCTTGACCGTGAGCATAAGACTCCTACCTCTCTAGAAAAGGAGCTTTTAGCCTTTTGAGAATCTGGTGGAAGCTCATGGGTCCTTCTCCCTAGAAGAGTTCACAAATGTAAATAGACATATGGGGCGCCTGGGTGGCGCAGTTGGTTAAGCGTCCGACTTCAGCCAGGTCACGATCTCGCGGTCCGTGAGTTCGAGCCCCGCGTCGGGCTCTGGGCTGACGGCTCGGAGCCTGGAGCCTGTTTCTGAGTCTGTGTCTCCCTCTCTCTCTGCCCCTCCCCCGTTCATGCTCTGTCTCTCTCTGTCCCAAAAATAAATAAACGTTGAAAAAAAAAAACGACTAAGATGAAGAATCCTTACCCTATAGCTGGGAAGAAGGGGACCTGAAGGTTCTAGATGACTCTGAGGTAGCAGAGGGAGTCCTAGGCACACCTGGTCACAGGGGGCTGGCGGGGGGGAGACACGGGGTACACCTGACAGCAGACATGCTGTCCACATAGTATTGACGTAGTTTCCAGCTGTTCACTGATGGCAGTTCTGATGGCCACAGCCGAAGAAAGTTTCAGCCATTTCCATATTAGGAATATTTATAAGCCCAGGATTGCCTAAAATGGGAGGAGGTGTTCACAGTCTGGGCAGGGAGGCAGGGAGTGAGGTCAAGGACATCACAAGGCTACTTCCATTTGGACAGTTAGGAACTGGTGTCGGTACTCTTACGGTCCACAAGGGAATGAATGACCTTGTTAACAGCCTTTTGAACCACCTCTGTCTCAAAAGATGATCTTTGCCTCACCGGACTTGTAGACCATCCTCTTGGGGTGCTGACTCGGGTATTTACAGTTCATTGGCAATTCAAACCTTGATTCTTCAGCTGGGATGCGAGGCAAGAGGCCAGCAAAGTCCAAGTGTCGTGGTACTCTGTAACAAGGCCACCTGTTAACTAAAAACGGAACTAACCTCACTAGTAGGCTCCAGCAGGGTAAGTTGTACAAGAGGGCTAGGTTTTATGTTTTCAGCCTAACTTCCTGCCATCTTGTAATCATTCCCAATTTCTCTATTTCCTTCCATACAAGTTCATTTATAAACACATATTTGAAATAGGGGACAACAATAAAACTGAATAGGGACGACTTCAAATACTAGTGCATTAAATAATAATGTCATTGGGAACAGAAGTTTGGTCTTGCTTGGGAAATTTTGCTTCTTACCTTTAGGTTGGGAGACTTTAGAGACATTATACGTTTTCTTCTCATTCTTTTTTTCTCTTATCATAGTCTTCTCTAAATAATTTCTATTACGAGCTGTTTCAGAACATTCAGAGAGAAAGTCTTCTGAATAATCACAGGGAGAACTTAAACTTCTGCAGGAACACTGAGATCTGCTGTAATCCACACTCCTATCAGAAGCGTGACTGGGGCTGCCTCTTGAACAGTCACCTGCGTCCTGGGTTCCCGTGCATTCTGCAGACCTCCTCCTGGGTCCTAAGGCCACACAGGGGAGGTGCTCATCTACACTTGTTTCTGCTGGATCAGCCAGAGACATAGCAAAACCTGATAGGAGAAAAGTGTTTTCAGATTTATAGCTATTGACATTAAAATGAACCTCTGCTTTATTATATTTAACTATAAGTGGATCATTAGGAATGGGAAACACCACATCTTGTGGAAGTATTTTCTGGAAAAAATCTCAGTTGGGTTTTGTTTTTTTCTTTGACATAAAATGTAAGACCCCTGAGACAAACTGGTGAGACTCTATTCACAGGTAATACAAGACAAAGTTCACATCAGAGGACAACAATGACAGTAATTTGTGAATTAGTGAATTACATCTTCATTCTCTAAGAATGTTGCAAGATTTTGCCTTGAAGAAAACGACAGTACTTGGTAAGCTTGGATGGCTGGTATGAAATGCAATACTTAGGAAATTCAGACATATTTGTGGAGATGGACACACTTTTATTTATTAGTGATGAAATTACACTTTTGAGATGAAACATATAGCATAGAATATAACAAATTAATCTACTACTTTTTTAGAGTTAATACTTGTTTTAAATTAAGAGTAATAGTGGATCCCAGGGATATAAACTTGATCCATAATTACAAGGCTTGTCATATTTTAATTTAAAAAATGTGCTTTCCTTTCTGTGCTCCATTTGGACTATTATAACATGAATAGGACCTCCCCCGATTACAGCTACATGATGACAGAAAACAATTCAGGAAAAAATGTGATTTGCATGGAAAATCATCCCATTGTTGGAACCTTTTTGAAGACAGTCCACCCAGTGGAAAATTTACATTTGTTTAATAAAGAACTGATCATACTTTTGCAGCTACACAAAGACCAAACTTTTATAATAATGGATTTGGAAAAATCAAAACCAAGTTTGTCTAATTATTAGAAATTCAATCATTCAATGTGAAAAATCAAAACCTTACTTGGGAGTTAAACAAGACTAAAGCGGACTTCAAAGCGATGTGTTTAAAAACTAAAAATGAAATGAAATTTGATGATGCGATCCTAATTTCTCATCAGGGACGAAAGCTACCATGTAGTCCAAAGTCCTTGTAACCAAAGGCCATGACTGAAAAACTAATTAAGACCCAGACGTAGTCACTTTTATTTCGGTTAGATTTGGTTCAAATTAAGTGCAACAGAAGGTTTAATAAACATAGCAGGTCTTCATTTGTAGGTCAGGAATGTTTTACTGCAGTGAATTACTCCCCAAAGCAACGTCACACATCACTGCAGGGTTCTATGCATCTAGAATAACTTCTCGGCACTTTGCTGCTAGCACCTGCTTGACATTCAGTGAAAACAAAGGTACTGTAGTTTACTTCCACTTTATTTTTAAATTCTTGGTATAGAGCCTAGGCAGTAGTATTGAACTTGATTCAGCTGAATAATCTGTGTGACCAGTAAGGCTAGATGACAAGGTCTCTCACACAGACTCTCCTACACACGCCCCACGAGGTCTGCAATCCTCCATCCAGATTCTTGTTTGATCTAAGGACCCTGGGAGACATGATGGCCCACAGCTAAATGCACACTCCCTAAGAATACAAAAGTTTCACAGGAAAGTTCTCTGAGGTACAATGAGTCCAGCTCCAAGATAGCTCAGGACAGCGACTATACGTAGCTTTCACATGCCCTTGTCCATGGTTAATATACAAAGACTAGATTCCAATATACACAAGCTTTTTTTTCTTTATTTTTTAAAGTAATCTCTGGACCCTACCTGGGGCTTGAACTCACCACCCCCGAGATCAGGAGTCGCATGCTCCACTGACTGAGCCAGCCAGGCGCCCCTGTACCCAAACTTTTGATACTGTTGGTAAGCCTTTAGTCATCTGACATGAGAATTTAAAATGGACAGAATGTGAACTCAGACACAAGGAGGCTCTGGAATCCTCTATGATGCCGCTGTGGGAAGGCACAGAATACCAGTTCTGTTTTGACAGCAGTTCAAAACAAAGGAACCCATCTCCCAGGTCTTTACAGGGGTTATTGTTTTCATTCAACACCCCCACTTCTTCTGTTTCATCAAGAAGGCAGAAGAGAAATGAGCTGCCACCAGACCCTTCCCAACAGGGATCTAACGTCACTGGCTCTACTGAGAGTTTTTGTTTTTTTTTCCCGAGTCAGCTTCTGCCTCTTTCTGCATTGGCTGGTCTGTCAAGCTTTCTCCTCTTCTGATGAAATACATGAGGCAGTTCACCATCTCCCTACTACAGAAATCTTAGCCCAAATAATCCTAATAACATTAGTACCGTACTTAATATTTAGCGAGTGTTTTTACTTCACCCAAGCTGTGTTTGCATCATCTCATCCTGGCCACGTGAAGGGAACAGGCTCAAGCAGGTTAAGCAGTTGTCCCTGTTTTCTTGCTTCCAGGTCAGGACTTTTTTCATTAAGCATTACAACTGCAAACATCACACTGGTGGTAACATCATACATCCTAAGGTAAAGAATTGATCTTTCCAGATGCATTCTGCCATGTAACAGTGGGTAGATGCACAGGCAAAGATCCTTACTTCTGAACCTTTGCAGATGGATTAAGAAGAGACCAAGTTGTTGGTGTACAAGATCCTGAAGGACCAAAAATGCTCTGCTGTGGCCCTCATGGTCTTGCCTGTCCTTGACCCTAGGAGCTGTCCCTCCTCACCTCTTCCCTCTCCTGACTTTAGCCCCTAACTTCCTCCATGCATCTTGTTAAATCCAAATCACTGCAAGAAGCCAATGGCTGGTAATCTGTGAGACAAATTTTTGACCAGTTGTTGGCTGACCTCTGCTGCTAAAGCCCTGTAAAAATTCCCTCCTCCTTGGGAATGCAAGCTGGTGCAGCCACTCTGGAAAACAGTATGGAGGTTCCTCAAAAAACTAAAACTAGAACTGCCCTACGACCCAGCAGGGGCACTACTAGGCATTTATCCACGAGATACAGGTGTGCTATTTCGAAAGGACACATGCACCCCCATGTTTATAGCAGCACTATCGACAATAGCCAAAGTATGGAACGAGCCCAAATGTCCATCGATGGATGAATGGATAAAGAAGATGTGGTATATATATATACAGTGGAGTATTACTCAGCAATCAAAAAGAATGAAATCTTGCCATTTGCCACTATGTGGATGGAATGGGAGGGTATTATGCTAAGTGAAATTAGAGAAAGACAAAAATCATATGACTTCACTCATATGAAGACTTTAAGAGACAAAACAGATGAACATAAGGGAAACAAAAATATGAAAACAGGGAGGGAGACAAAACAGAAGAGACTCATAAATATGGAGAACAAACTGAGGGTTACTGGAGGGGTTGTGGGAGGAGGGATGGGCTAAATGGGGAAGGGGCTTAAGGAATCTACTCCTGAAATCATCGTTTCACTATATGCTAACTAATTTGGATGTAAATTTTAAAAAATAAAAAATAAAATAAAATAAAATTCCCTTCTCCTTCCTCAGAACTCTCCTTTGAGACAGCCATCCCAGTATTGTAGGATACAGGCTTAATTCAAGAGTGTTTTTCATTTATAGTCACAAACTGTCCAATGCTACAAGAGTGGGAGTGTGACAGTCGAAGGTGGTGGACAACTTGAAGGCAGGCTGACGTGGGCTTGAACCTAAGTCTGTCAGTTAGTGAAGTGATATTGGCCACCTATAAGACATGAATAACAACACCGATTCCATAGGGTTATCACAGGGAGAAATGAGATAGTGTTTGTAAATATCTATCATGGCACCTGTCCCATAGCACGCCATCAGCAAATACTAGTTGCCTCTTGGAAGAGTAATTCTTGAACACACACCAGGACCCTCGAGGGCCCTGCTCGTGTCTTTATGTGAGAGATGCAACCAAGAGTCAGTCTGTTTCCACATCAACTATTTTACTGGGAATGATTGCTTGACAAATGGCATTTGACTGAAAACTCTCTGAAGACAGAGTGTGTCGTTTCTGTTGTAACTTCAGGCCACCTACTGCTGCCTCACAACCAAAATTTGTAACCACTTGAATACGGATCACCACCATCACCCCCCTACACTGTATGCCAAGCACAGAGGCAGCAGCTTCCATATGGCGGCTGACTTCATCATGCACAACCCTGTGCAATAGGGATCAGTCATCGTATTTTACTGTTGAGCAAACTAAGTAAGGCTCAGAAACGTCAAGTAACCCGTCTGAGGTCACAAAGCCAGTGAGGGGGAGAACTCAGTTTTTAGGCCAGGTCTGTCTGCTGGGTTTTTTTCACCGTACCATACTACTTGACCCCAAATGGACATAATTTGACCCAACTTAATTGTCACTGCAACTGTAAAATGTTAAAGTATGTCAAGACCTGTGATAAACCTATGAGGATCACTCATTCTTCAGCTTTTCATGTTTTACCTCTAGTCTAGAGTCCAAAATCTGAGACTATATTGAAACCAATCACGTATCCCTTAACCTTTTAGATTAATCAGTACAACTCACTCAGAATCTGACATGACGGGAACAGTGAGAGATACAGATAAGGAAGTTAGGGTGAAGGAGTGTTTTTTTCCGTTCCTAGATTAGAATATTGAGGTTTGGTGATGCGCTTGTACTCCATGTACAACTTTTTTAAGTTTATTTTTATTTTGAGAAAGAAATAGAGAGCAGGTAGGGGAGGGCCAGAGAGGAAAAGAGAGAATCCCAAGGCTCTGAGCTCTCAGCACAGAGTCCAATGCTGGGCTTGAACTCACACATACGAGATCATGACCTGGGCCAAAGTCAAGAGTTGGATGCTCAGGTGCCCCATACACGTACAATTTTTTAAAAGAAATATTCCCAGGGCTTCTGGGTGGTTCAGTTGGTTGAGCATCTGACTTTGGCTCAGGTCATGATCTCATGGTTCACGGGTTCAAGCCCCATGTCGGGCTCTGTGCTGACAGCTCAGAGCCTGGAGCCTGCTTCCGATTCTGTGTCTCTGTCTCTCTCTGACCCTTCCTTACCCACACTCTGTCTGTCTGTCTGTTTGTCTCTCTCTCAAAAATAAGTAAACGTTAAAAAAAATTTGAAGAAAAAT